AGAGAGAGAGAGAGAGAGAGAGAGAGAGAGAGAGAGAGAGAGAGAGAGAGAAATATAATATAATATCATTATTAAAATAATAGTAAAATAATAATATTATATTTAATATTAATGACGTTTTAATTAATTACTTAAATAATATTTTACATGATCTATCAGATATATAAAACCACTATTATTTCTAGTATAAAAAAATAAACTTCTATAAATGATAAATTTACCACATTACTATCATGATAAATGAATATCCATTATAGCATTAATTTCGTCTATAACTTGATTTATAACTAATACGATGATGAATGTTTTAGGAAAATAAACGTTAACATGCAAAGAATATCACGTTTGCTATCGGGGGATTAACTGTATTTCCATTGAGAAATACTTCGCATCTGTACAGCATCCCGGTGCAGCAGGCGGTGCATTGTCATAAAACACACCCTACACAGACACCCCTGACGACAATGGCGACTTAAAGGAGATGCCCAACGACGACTCGGAATATCCATTATTAGTCGAACCAAATCGGTAAAAATATTTCGAATAGTTTGAAACTCTCTGACGTAAGATTAGTTAAAGTAAGCAAATTTATTTTTTATACAAAATGTTTCATGTAACGGCAAAATTTAATTGTTGAAATCCGATTAGTTTACGTTATACTAGAACTCGAGCGAACGAATATTTCGCTATCCATTTACAGCTACAAATATTAACTCGGATTTCAAAATATTCAGTATTTAATCGTTCCGTAATTACATTTTCATTTCGTCATTAATATAAACATACAATCACTTTACTTTATTCTTTTGAAAAGTTAAATGAAAATTAATAAAAATAATAACTTGCTAAAGAAAATATGAATTCAATTGAAATGTCAATCTACCATTTTTTTCAACATTGAAACTTTATATTTATTTCTCCGCACGAATTGAAATTAAATCTTCATTCGTCCGCAGTATAGAATTTTGTAACTTGATATAAGTTTCTCATATGTTTGAGACTCAAACTTTGCAAGATCGAAATTTTTCGTCATCAGTCACGTAAAATAAAAAATTGTCTTCCGTCAAAATTTTAACTTGCACTTTATTTTAATCGATATCAAAAAAGATATTAATTATATCTTTTTTCTTTTCAGGGATTAATCATTATTAACGACTGCTTACCAGCTTGCGTCGTAGGAGGAACGATCACGCTCGGTCTGTTGTGGTGATTATTCGTTCTCGACATGTCCAACGCTTCGCTCTGAATCGGATCTCTCCTACGGTCCTTACGCCAAGCGCTACTTGGTTTTCGATGCAGATTCGTCACCTTCGATCTCTCCTCTGCAATATACGAAGACATCATTATAAACGATGTTATTCCTTGAGATGGGAATTCTGAATGAGGAAAACGATCGGCTTCAAATAGATATTCTAGATCAGGTCCAATTTCAATTCCGGAGTGAAAACGTAAAATCATCGAAGCAAAAGAATACAATGTAAAATTTCAGGGACTGTAAAGTTTATTGATAAGCGTCACTCAGATGCGTATCAACACAATACTTTACAATCCCTGCAATCTTACCCACATTGAATTTTTTGCATCGATGGCTTTGCCTTTTGATTCCGAAGCTCAAATTGGACAGGCCTGTTCTAGATAGATCACAAAGGATTTTATTTATCATCTCGATTAACTATTATTTATTATACCGATCGCGTTCAATTTGCTATAGCGAGAATATTTACTTTATTAATATTTCGTTCTAAGTTGGATTTACTCCGGACTTCCAACCTTTTCGTTTTAATTTAACATATGTAGTGAGACGAGCTACGCCTTCGAGTAGTTAAGCACGAAATATACGCATTGAACTTCCGAAGGAAACTAACGTTTTCCCTGTCATTGTTGGATATATAAAACGGAATGCGAGGAATGTCAATTGTTATTCGGCAGTCACAAAGTGGGGATCTCAGTAGAGAGTAAAGAGAGGAACGTAAGGAAGCGACTAAGATTGACTGTAAATATTTTCGTCTGGTATTGTCCGTTTGGACAAGAGAATGTACAAGCAAAAGCGCTCGTATGAAAAGGACGAAGTAGCAAGTTTGATAGCTATACATCAACCATATACCGAGCTTTGTTTATGTTCCGCAACTTTCGTTAGTAATGTAGCCAGCACATATAGTACATTTAGAATTCCTCTTTTACATCTATTTATCACACTTCATGATGAACAGAGTTATTGATCGAAATCTATCGGAAATCGCGAGAGGGTCGTCTCTATTTCCGTGCAGCGGGATATCTAAAATTGGAAAGTCAATCAAACGCGAGACAACCCTTTACGATCGATTGAGAAAGAGCGAAAAGATAAGGAGGATGAGAAAGAGGACAACGAAGGACGAAGGAAGAGAGTAAAAACAAGTTCGGTTCTCAGGATGGGCAGGAAGTGCCTAATAACCGTGAGAGGATCGTCAAGATGGCGAAACTGGTTTAGAGAGACGTGTACCGCAGGGAAAAGATGAATGGACCGTCGAGATGAACGGAAGCGGGACGGGAGGGTTGCCTCGAGAGTCAGTTAACTTCTCGATATATGCCGCTGATAATTAACGAACGCGCACATGAGTCTCGTCCCTTTATGACTCCAAATCATAGGGCGATTCGACATTTCCGCTGCTGAAGCTATCCAGCAGATAAATCAGGAAAGCCGAAAGTCTTTTTTAGTCCATAAAATAAAATTTGACGAAAGGAACAAAGCACTCTTACAACATCACTTGGCGTTCGACATATATCTTTAATTATATAATTTATAACGCAGAATATTTTGTCAATAATACTTTATTATTTTTTTTGCATTATCCTGTAATTATCAATCGCAAAATCGAACACTAAAATAGAAAACTAAAAAGTCGAATCCCAAGTGGGATCGTGCCATAAAATTATTTGCGTAAATTTGCGAATCTTAAAGCAATTTCGAAAGATGTGATGTGCGACGGCAATTATTATCAAAATTTTCATCTTAAAATATTTGGAATTAATTTGCGAGAATTCTTGTTTAGAGAAAATGTCGACGGAAATTGCTGCAATTGCCTTATTTCAATATTTTAATTTTTAAATTGACCAATGTAAGATGAAAGACGTGAATAAGTCTATAATTTCAATATAATACACTGAGAGAAAAAAATTATTGCAATTACCATAATTTATAGTCATTTTCAGTATCAATTATATTATTATTTAGTAAAAGCATTAAAATAATTATTATTACCAACATTAAACCAGTAATAACTATAAAAATGGAGTTCCTAATTATAATTATTTTACCATGCAATCATAGCACAAATACCAAATACCACAAATACAAAATATTTCTCTCTCTCTCTCTCTCTCTCTCTCAGTAAATATGCCATTAGATACCAAGTCAAATAGTAATAAGATATATGTATTTACATTTTGGTGAATAGATTTCAACAAAAAATTTTAACCGATTTTATCGACGAAAAATTCCAAAAATTTTAAGTTGAAAATATTTGTATTACTGTTATATTTCTGGAATGTAACATATATACAGAATCTTAGCATGCCTAAAGTATCTATTTCATTCTGGAACAAATGGCATTCCTTTCAAAAACTACTCTCCTTTCCTCGAAAACTACTCAAGTTAATTTACATCTTGCGTCAACAAAAATCGACTGTAAACTAGGCATATACATTTTGAAATATCGCTGTATATCATACTATTCAATTTCTGTCAAACAAATTCGATTAACGACGCAAAAAAAAAACATGTAATTTGTTTTCACTAAGAAATTTTAATTTTAGATTTAAAATTAAAATTTTTTTTATAATAAGCTTTTATTATTCGTTTTTTATTCATTCTAAGTCTATTTGGCTCCACCCATTTAGTTTTTTCACCGCGCTTTACAAAATGACATACCTTCCGGTTTGCAAGGCAGTCGAAGGCTATCGACATTAAGCCACGGCTGCCAGAGATGCCTCCTCTTGCATGGAAGCTCCATTTTATTGGTCTTGGGAGCATTAATGGCCAAGTTAAACTGCGAGATCGTACTCTTTTACGAGATAGGTACAGAATACCTGAGTAAGGCGAAAATTTAATTCATTCCTACACGCACTATATTTTTTTTCTGCGAGAGTTCAGTCTACCACACGTTCTTCACCTTCAGTAATATTACAGCACAATTTAGACTAATTTTTACAACGATGTATGTATAGTTTTCGATTAAAATATCCAACGTAATAACGCGCACAATTGAAACAAAAGATGACGAAGGTGCGTAAACAGAGTTAAAAAAAATTCAATTGGCGATATTTCTGATAAAACAAGTTATCTTCATTGATAATGCGATTATCTGTAATTAAAAGCTGCTTGAACTAAGCGTTCCTTGTTCTATAAAGTTTCTCACACACAAACAAATCACAGTTAGCGATGCATTGCGATTCTCGCACAAATCTCGATCGAAGTTTCGCAAACGATATATGCGCCCATCGTTTGACCGGCAATATAATACTTAAATAATCACTAAATAGTTAACAAAAATTATTCTTGGATGTAACTTTCGATACACTTCATTATTTTCATCCTCGAAATGAAGAATCTGCGCGTTAATTCCATTCAAAATCTCATTCTCGTGAAAATTCGTTCCTGTAGAGAAAGAACTGTGTAATCTCCCTTCTTTCTTTCAAAATTTTTTTCTATTATCCGGGCATTTTTCTATTTTAGTGTCACAGCTACTTCTGAGAATCGATACAATTATTGTTTCTTCCGATCGTAGGCAGACAATCAAGATTGCAGAATCGCCGTGGAACTGGAGAATCGAAAGAATCAAAGGGAATCGAAGGCAAAAAAAGGAAAATTGCGACAAACGAGGATGTGGAAAACAAATTAAGCGGCACGCAAAAACGTCCGGACACTTATAACGAAACGGTCATTTAGCGCAATTGCGAAGTGCGCACAATGCGGAGGAACGACGGCAACAAGGATGAAAATGGCGACGACGCGAGGAGAGAAGCCGCGAGGTTCACTAAAAAAAAAAATAAAAATAAAAAAGCTCGTCCCTCAAAGACGCACTCGCGGTTTCGTGAATGCGCCACTCACGACTGTCTTAAGATTCATTCATTCATCCGTCGCTTCGACTCCGCCGTCCGCCGCCACCCTTCTCCCCCGTGCAACACGTGGGATCAAAAGAGGTTGCCTTTTACACGTACACACGCATACACGCGCAATGCTGGCACCCGTGCGAGCGTTGTACACCGCGGATATCCTGCATGGATACGACGAGAATTAAGCGTGTATTTATAAGGTACTATAAGCGCGCGCGCTCGGCTGGAAGCCAACTCGCCTCTTTTCTCGCTTTCTCTTTCTCTCGACCTCTCCCTCTCTCTATCTCTTTCTCTCTTTCCCTTTTTGCCAGGTAGACACGGTATACTGGGTGTGCAGAGACTAAGGACAGTATGCCTAGTTCATTCTTATATTAAGATCGTCTTAAGATGCTAATACAGCCTTCTGATTGGCTTATGGCATAAGTATAGTCTTAAGATGTTATAAGCCAATCAGAAGGCTATGTTACAATAGCATCTTAAAACAATACTTAAGATGATCTTAACATAAGAATAAACTAGGAATACTGTCCTTAGTCTATACTTAAGACAGTTTCAAATATAATGGGCTTCCTACAATAAGTCATTACCTAAGCTTTAAGTCTCAAGCTGCGAGAAACAAGACCGATTATTCTTCTCACGTTCCATTGCGATTAGTTAATTTCTTACAACTTAAGACTTAAAACTTAGGTAATAGCTTATTGTAGAAAGCCCATAAGAATCGATCATGAATACCGGCCTTATGATATCTCAAGACTGTGATATCTTAAGAACTGTCTTAAATATAAAAACTAATTATGGCCGGTATTCATAGTCGGTTCTTATTTTAAGACCGCCTTAAGTAATGTCTTAAGTCGCTAATGCAGCCCTCTGATTGACATCTTAAGACTGTACTTAAGACGGTTTTAAATATAATATAATATCTGACTATGAATACCAGCCAAAAGTTCGCATATATGTATATGTCCTTTGATCACTTAGGACCCGATAAAATGAACTTAACGCGCTTGATATATTTCTTTCTTTTAACGAAACACTCTAAGCCAAGTCAAACTAAAAAACACGCGTATATTCGCAGTTTTTTTAAAAGTTGCATATATACTGGATGCGTTCCATTTGGTGCTCACAAGCTTATCAGCATGATTTGTCCTTTAAACATTTAATAAACAAGGATAAAAGAATTCCGAGGATAAAAGAGCGAACAGCAAACTGAACGTAGTCCATATATGGATTGTTTCAAGAAAATCAATGAAGAAAAACATTCTAAGAAATTTACACGTTGCAGATGTTATTAAGTGATAAAAATACGACGAAAAGTAAAAGCCGTTAAACTGAGGGCCAATTTTAATAGTCGACAATTCTCTTGAATTCCCTTTCTCTAATTTTTAAAGATAAAAAATTACATTGACTGGATTTAAAATTAAATTAGTTTGAGTCTTGTTTTAATTTCTATAATACATCGATTGGATTTAAAATTAAACTAATTTTCGACTCGAAAGAGAGACGTGCGATAATTTTGCACGACCCTGTATATGCGCGATACAACCGACGCATCGATGCGATGCACGCGCGAATGCGTCGAATGGTTGATAGCGTGTGTTTATTTTAACCCTTTCGATATCCACATATGATCACGCGTATCATGCATCGAGTTTCATTGATTCGAATAAAAAAAAAAGGGGAAAAAAGGGAAACAGGCGCTATCTTCCTTTATACATATAATTTTTCCCTGCAATTCTGATCTTTTTACAGGATATCATTGTGCATAAAATTCTATCAGAAAAAAGTATATATATAAGATATTTTCAAAATTCGTAAGTCAAGATAATGCAATCGTGAAATATTAAATTTAATGGAGGCATTAATAATAATTCTTATTTACATATTTTGTAGTAATATTATTTATACATATACTGATTTTGTAATTGCATTAAATATAACTTGCGATGTTATACCGATCGTAATTTAATGCTCGTTTGTTCGTGTACGTTCAGATTTACATCATTTGCATCATTCTGCATTCATTATTCAAGAAACAGAATACGAACCGTATAAAATATGTATATGCAATAGAGGGTTAAGTAGTCATGGCACACTCTAACTTCCTGATAAAACATAGCGGTCTAAACGAAAGACGTTTCTTCGCTCCGCTGAAGAATATAAAAAATTCGAGATCAGCAAATGCATTCGCGCGCGATTCGCATCGAGCTGAACACGTGTATTCAATCTGTAAATACGTGGAATTGAAACTATAAACGGCACCTATGCGGAATCATGACACTTGCAAGTATTGCGTTCTTAAGTCAACTAGAATTCAGTTGAATACGTCCTATGACGAATAAATAAGAGATTATCTTATTTTTAATTAAGTACAATCAAATCAAATTATAATGCTCTTTTAATTTCAAAGACATATCGATGTTATCTCAAATTGGAGAGAATAACAAAAAATATTATATAAATTATATTTATATAATATTTAAAATATTATATATTGTATATAAATTATATGTATTTATATAATTATGATAATTACATAAAGACACATAATTTATACATATAATTGAGATATAATATTTTAATTGTCACTCCCTTACTCCATAAGTGACATAGCTTGGAAAACATAATTTTCAAATTATTATCATAAATGAGTTAAGTAAACATTACTCTACAATTATCAAAAGTGAACTTATTTAATTTCATAAAAAATCATCACAAGTTAAAGAGTGTCTGTTGTACTTTGCGAATGAAGTAAATGATTAAAATGTTTTTTTTTTTTTCATTTTTAACACTAAGTATCGCGCTGACTCCCCTTCTTTTTACCTTTTTTTAACTTAAGGAATTATTTTTAAAAATCTATGAATATAAAATTATTTTACAATTATACAATTTTTTTTTTAAAGTTATGAAAGAAAAACGATGAAAATAACACTTGTTGACAAAATGACATTTCGTATTAAGAATATACTATTCTTCTTGTCGATATTATATGATTAGTCAATAATTTAAAATGATAATTAATTTAATTACTCAATAAAAATATATTGTATTGAAACTCGTATTCGCCTGCGCTCCTAATTTCACCATTCCGCGCAGAATGTTCGGGTCATTTTGCTAAGAGGATTTCGTAAAGCGGACAGCTGAATACAAAGCAAAGAATGCGATTGCTCACCCGCGATCGCACGATCGATTCCATGTAAAAACGATTGCGCGGCTTGTGACAGTGTGTTACGATCGCGAATTTATGTCAGGTAATAGCACGTTGCATTATAACTCGGCGCCCGCGATAATAATAGCGATACCCACGGCGATCCAACTTGCATACGAACGAGCCTTCGTTAATATCGTCGTGCACGCGCGTGAAATATAGAATGACTATTGAACAAATTATGCGAGGAATGCCGACGGCATGTCGAGTAGTTTTGTCGTCGTTTCTGAGGTCTGTGCATTCCATGAGAATTTGATCGCGTTGCATTTCATTGTCAAGTTATGTCTTTATATCCCATTCCCATCAAACATGAATATTTTCCGGATGAGTAATTGACGGTAAAGTAGAAGAAATGAGTCCCCGAGAAAGATCAAAGCAAAATTGAATAAGTGAGGCACAGAAAAGGCACGAAAAAGGCGTGAAAAAATTTCTGTGAATGATGATACGGTAGAACGAGTCCAATTGAAACGGTTCATTCAAAAAAATGCTTTTTGTTTCTACTACTGTCCGAAAATTTAAGTTCTACAATGTGCTTTTTGTTTTCTGTTTTTTGCTTTTTACTATTTTTTACATCTTGTCTTTTTGCTTCTTATCCGGTTTTTTATTTTATGTCGCCCACATAAAAGTTAACGAACTTCGAAAGAAATACGTAGCAAGCAATACAATTGTCGATAAAACGATTGCAAAGGGAAAAAGTAAGAGATAAAAAGCAAAAAGCAGGAAAGTACATTATAGAATAGGCTTTATGTGTTCGAAAATACTACAATATATTGTATTTTTTCTCATTAAACATCTCGTTTTTTAGATAGTCATCAGGAAATAATAAAATCTCTGAATTTCTAATGTTTTGAGCAGATGATGTACAATAACATAAATAATTGCTTACGAAATCGTCAATGATCTCATTATTCGATGAACTATAAGATGAGAGAGGAGGGAACTATATTTTTGTATGTGTTATAACGATAAGAAAAACATTATCTTTACAGAAATTTAAGTGATTAACTATTTATTTTAATCACTATTGTACTTTTAACACTTAAAGTAATTAATCATTTACCTTTCAGAATACTTAAATAATTGGTATATCAATACCTAAAACTACTGCAAAATTTTAGAGGACAATAATTGTTTAACGTGTGATTTTTTTAAATCAAGTTTTCTTGGAACTTTATACTATCATTCCTCTTATTATCGAGAGAGTCAAAATCCGCAAAAAGAAAAAAGTTTGGTAATACCAAAAATGAAATTTTTGTAATAGCTACCTAAAATAGATTTAACTAGATATTTTAATTAATATAACATAATCCTTACGATTTTACTGTTTGATGATACTAAATTTTTGTAAGAATAAAATTACGTTTGGTTATATTAATCAAAACATTTGGTTAAACCTATTTTTTTAGGTAGCCAAACTGGTTTTTCTGTGCAAAATAAAATTTCAAGAGGCATAAACTGACCTTGCATCATTGTCGCTGCTCTGGAAAGGACGTCCAAGGCACTCTCGACGGCAGACATCTCTTCTTTCGTTCGTTCCGTCCGTTCGAACTTGTCTTCTCTTTTTTCTCTATTCTCCTTCCCTCGCGTGCCACCCTCGCGCGAAATTCGCGCGCACCCTCACAATATACTTCGTGGATCCTCAAATTTTCTTTCCACAGAAGATGTCCTCTTCCTCGTTGTCGTTTTTCTGACAAGGATACGTCAACCCTAGCCCGTCTGCGTTGCAAATTCAGGCGTTCTGTACAGGGACAAAAGTCGAACTTTAACTGTTTGGGCCTTCCTCGCGGCCGAAGGCGGCACAAATAAAGTAAAACGGGGATTAAAAAACGTGACATTGACTGTGGAATGCGGACCCCCTCACCGTCGGCACCTCCCCCCCTCTCGTGGGAGGATCCCCACCCCCGCGGCACTCCTCTCGCGGAACTTCTTCTCGCGCGATGTATCTAGCAATGGAATCGACACGTTCGCGTTCATATCGCACGTTAACACCGATTGATAATCGGCTTTAATAAACTTTAATTACAATTATCGCTGTAATTTTCAGTCACTTATTGTCGGTGGAATTTAAAATCGATTCTCCCTTGTTAAAAAAAATATAGTAGGCATTAATAATTTTCAAATTATAAACGATTAGTAGCTTTAGTAGTTTTTGTATTAAATTTAATGATATTTAAATTATGTACATAATTACGTAGAATTTTAATTAAGAATTTTAACTGCTACAAAATATACGGAAATAATTTAAATACAGTCACAAGATTCAGATAATCATTAAGATGATAACTTATTGCTACATCAATTGCTAGTCTAATAACTGAGAAAACTCGTCAACCAAGAAAATTGTTATAAGAAAAAAAATTATTTAATTGTGTTTCATATCCATTTCTTCTGATAGTTCTCACATTCCTCTCAAGTTACAAAAATTGAAAAATTGTACAATCATCACGTTCTTCTCAAGTTACAGTAATTGAAACTTGTACATTAAAATCTAAAAAAAATTCCAAAACAATGAAATAAACTTTCAAGTATGTAATTTATTGATTAACAATGAATAATATTAATGTATAATACATTTAACGTCAAAAGATAACGTTATCGAAGCTATCATTATTTATCATTTAACCATATTGACATTCTATTACGATACACAAGAAATAGAACACATCAAATAAAGTTTACGTGATAATTATATTAGATAAAACTTTTTCCATCAATATAGATACAACTTTTGACACAATTTGGAAAGAAGGTGTTTGATGAAGAATCAATGTTTTAAAATATGTTCGATATCTAGAAAAATACATTAACAAATCTTGGTCAAACATTTTGCACACACACAAACAACACAACACATATACACAACATACACACACAAATATAGTAACCTTTCAAGCAAATATAATCACAATTTTTATATACAATAAAATTACAATTTTTTTGTTAAATGCCTTGAATTTAGAGATACTATTCAATGTAATTGATGATTTGTTTCTACTATAATATACTTTATAATATAACACACGTTAACTAAAATATTAAGCAAGATCTACGTGAAGGTACATGATAATCAGATATGCACTGAAAAAAAATATCCTAAGTTTCAATAAATATTTATTTGAATAGCACGTACCAATTAAATATTTATTAAATATAAAAATATCTTTATTTCGTACAAAAAACATTAATTTGATTTAACAATTACTTCTTTTTGTTAAGTAAATATTTATCTATTGTAAGTAAATGTTTAGTTGGCAGTATCAAAGCATTCAAATAAATATTTGTTTAAATGTAGGCTATTTTTTTCTCAGTGTGATGATTGAACTTCTTCTATCGATAGACAAAACAAAAGAAATCAATAAATAGCAAGTAGAACAACCGAATTCGAAATGTGTGTTAATTAATGTTAAGATACATTTAACGTCTGTAAAACACTTTACTTATTGATGTCTATAAGATCCATGTTAATTAAAAGGCATTAATTAATTCCAAGAAACCAAAATGATATAAAAAAAGAATGAATACAATAAATAGATTTTTGTAATAAAAATAATCCAAATTTGCAAATGTAACGTAAAGAAAACCCATGTAAAGTCCGAAAACAGTTTGCTCAAACATATTTCACAAATATCTTATAAAATATGTAACATTATAGTCTCCTCCCATGAAAATTTTTTATAATTTTTTTATTAAGTCTTGAATTTAAAAATATTGTTCAATTTCATATTTTTAATAACGATTAGTTAATTTCTACTTTTTATGAATCTTCTCTAATATTAAAGATTTTTTTCTAAAAGAAAAAAGAAAGTCTGATGGGATTGTTTTCATCTTGCGCTTTAATATTTGACGAAGAGTAAGAGGGACGATATTTTCGATTTTAAAAATGAAAAGGAAGGTTCGTAGCTGGTTTAAAGCCATTGCTATCTTAATCGCGACTTCTCTTATTCCTTCTCATCCTCCTCGCGTGCTTTTCCTGCTTCTCGCAACACTACCGTACAGTCGACATCACGATTTCATCATAACAATATAAACAACCTTTTATCCATCTTCCTACCGCGCGATTTGCTCTTTCCGGTATTTTGGCTTTTTCTTCGTTCTCTTTAAAGAAACGTAAATGTTCGCATGAGTCGATAAAATCATCTTACTTCGCATCATTTCTCCTTTAATTAATTCAACTGTTTTTAATTCTTCATTAAGAATAAAAATATTCAATTTCCTCAAAACTGAAATTATAAAATAAATAGATAATTGAAAACACAACTTACGATCTTAATTCCCAGATTACAAGATTAGACATTACAACTTTAATTATGCTTTATATTATTAAATTTTTCTTAACAACTCCAATTATTATTTCGTTAGATTATTGTTAATTGTCACAATTATTATACCTATATATGTGTTACATATGTCTAAATTTTCATAAATTTAAGTTGCTTTAATTAATTTAAATTATCATTTTTAAAACTCTTCGAGTTTATTTTTTTGAAGAAAATCTTTCGACTGAGAAGATACCGCTCGATATCCGCGTTATGTTTGTCGAGTTTCTTGAGTGATAAAGAGACGAGATAAGATTGAAAGGATGAATCTAGTTTACAAAGGCGTGCCGTTTCTCGGCCGTGCCTCTTCCTCTTAATTTTACGCGAGTGGTGCGCAGTGTAAACGTTTTATGAATCATAACGGCCGTCGTCAGTCGGCGTGCTATTTAAACGAAAGGACGGCCCGAATAAAGTGTATCGCGAACGAGAGAGTCATTGCGCATAAATGCTACATCATTGTGCGAGAAATGACGAGCGTTTGTAAATACAAATCGCTGTAAAAGCGTCGGAATTCGGAGGCGTAACCCTTTCAACACACGTCGTATACGTGAAATTCAACTGTAATCCACTTACAAATATTTTTACTTAGCTCCCTTTCTCAATTCCGACACAATTCCATTCGATTCGAGAACGAATCTGAGCACGTATTATGAAATTATTCGGAATGAATTCCAATTGGAATTGTTCAATTATTCCCTAGACTTCTATTATGTTTCCTGAGGAAAATGGAATAATTCCGATCGGAATCCATTCCGAACAATTGTGTAATACCTTGTATAATACGTGCCTTATCTTTTTACGGATTAAATTTTTAACGATTTTTAACAAAACGACGAATAAGCTTCTGCTATTTCAATCAATTTTAAATACATTCAATTTTGTTCAATTTTTTTTAATTGCAGTCATGTTTTGGCAAATAAAAGAACAACAAGAATCTTTATATTTATATTATTTTTCATTTCTCTTTTATTATGAACTATCTTGTAATTTATATAAAAATTATGAATGAGATAAATTATAATCCAATCAGAAATATTTTAAAAAATATAAAATTTTGAAAGATGCAGACAATAAATCTTAATAGAGTCAAATAGATTGGAACTGATTAAATGCTTTAGACGTTTAATTTTAAACAAATTTGAATTTTTATATAGCTCAAAGCTTCCGCTTACAACGGAAATTTAGAACATGTTCAATTCGATTATCGACAGCGTTAAATTAATGATGTGTGATCTATAAAAAGAACGGTGAATCTTTGCACCTTTGACTAACGTCACGCACGCCGATCTAACTCCTCGATCGACAGATTCTCACGTATTATCTTAACCAAATCAGATTCAATCGAATATGTATAGGGTGTTCTGAAGTTGTTGTCTTCATAAAAAAAAAACACTCCCGAAGCCAAGTTAAAACGTTATTATAAGCTGATGTTATTAATATCAGAATAATTAATTTGATATATAATATACAATACAATTTTCAAATAATGCATTTAAAAAATTTAAAATAATTTTCGGATTATGCATAAGCTAAAATTTTTTAATCAAAGGACCTTTTGTTAAAGTAAATGACTAACATTTGTTCTACTTGTTTAATACCCTAAAAATTTATGTATCCACAAATCAATCAGTTCATCACAATCATCAAATTTAAAAATCTATTCTCTCTCTTTCTCTCTAAATTCACGTTTAATTCTTCAATAAAAATTATTAAATTAAAATCAATTTGATTTGTATACTATATAACCTACTTGTTCGGTAAAATTTTATAAAATATTCTTCAAAAGAAAATAAATTTTGGTTTTGAGTACATGATAAGTTTTTTTAAAAATTTGTTGTAATAAATATATTTTAAGACTAAATTATCAAGAAAATATTCTTAAAGATAACGTTACTTAAAATTTAAAAGAAAAATTAAGCTGAGCAATCACTTCTTTTAACAGTAGGATATTTTTCTATTGTAACGTTAATGTACATAAAGTTTCTAAAAAAAATTTACATGATACATAATAAAGATTTAATTGTCAGAATATTAAAAACCATAAATTAAGTTTCCATCTGGAGAAACTCCTGAGAAAGTTGTCGTCCAAAAAATAAGTGATTTCCATCCGTCGAATAATTCGTACACCCTGTATATTCACAAACATATACATATATACGCACTGAATAGCACGTGGTATGCGGGCGATTTACACGCGACTGCTCGAGAACGCGAGAGCTCGAAACCGCCGAAGATTTCTTGTCGAACGTTCTCGTTGACGAATTTATAAAAAAAAAAAAACATCAATTCGAATGAAAATTATATAAAGTTTACTTGAATATTCAAATTTCTCGTCTCAGCTGTCTCTCTGATTTTGCCCACATTTAACCTCATTTTAATAAAATACGTCAATATAATAAAACGTGAAATCAATTTTTATACAATTTATATAAATGCATTTTATCGCAAAAAAAAAAGTAGAAAGGAATTGAATAATAAATACGTGATGCTTTACGGTCGACTTCCTGGAAAAATAGGGAAAATGTCCAATGACAAAGTGATGCGATGTGTCGTATAGATTTATACTTATACATCCGCGAAGTGACTGAAATCGACTGTCATTCAAGAAAAACAATAACATCGCAGTACATATGTGACAGCGTGAATCGTAAGAATCACAAGAATTCAGACGGAATGGCATAAAAAGCACGATAAAATTTCAGAAATGAACGGAATGTGCGAAAGCGTGCTAATAAAGAAAATTTCAAGAACAAAGATTTGTTTGATTCCACCTGTGTTGCAACAACGTTTTCCCTAAACAAAGATCGGCACTTGAGAAAAGTTCGATGAACCCGATGGAATTCCAAACGCGAGCGCGTTCCTCGGAATTTTTACGCGCCAACGCGCGAACGAAACGTCAAGCGAGTTAATCGTCTCTCTTCTATTCGCCATAATACGGACGTTGCATTTCTACCGAAATGTAGAAACGTTAAAAATATGCGAGGCGAAAATATGAAGGCGAAATAAAAATGCTTTTGCGTGAAGAAATATTATAATTTATTGTATTCCAAAAACGAAATAAAGAGATTAATTATTTAAAATTAAAAAAAAAGAAAAGAAAATTAAATACGTCTTATATTTCATAAGAAATTTTTTGCTCAAAAAACTCAACAGGAAGATAGCCAAAAAATATCCACATTTATTTAGAGGGACAAAGTCCAATGCTTTCGCATATTTAATCTTTCATAAATGTCATCATATTTGCTGCACTTTCTAAATTTCTAAATTTTGTGTACTTGCGAAAATAGGTTTTAGAAAAGAGTGGGAAAGAGGAAAGAATAGATAATAAAAGCAAATGTTTATTCCAAATGTTATTAGAAATAAAAAAAAATTATTTAAATATTGTATCTCTGATGTGATTTCATGAAGAGTTTTCCATTAAAACTTATCAGATCAGATTATATTTCATTCGCAAAAGAAGGTAGGCAAGAACATTCTTTTTTATCTTGGTTAAGAACAGAACAAAGTCCGATGTACAATATTTCCGCCGAGATTTAATGTCATAAATATCAACACGTCTACGCTTTCTAAATTTCCAAATCTTGAACATTTACGAAAGTCGCAATTTCAGGAAAGAAGAAAGAATAATAGCAAACAAATATATATTTTATTCCAGATATTATTAAAAGTAAAGCAAAGAAGTTAATTAAATATCGATACGCCTTCATGATAAACTTTCTACTAAAACATTCACAGGAGAAGGTAGCCAAGAAACATCTACCTTCGTTTGGAAGAGAACAAAGCCCGGTACTCTCGTAGATTTAATCTCATATAAATATGATCTGGTGCACTTTCTAATTTCCAAATTTTGTGTGCAAATACTTGCAAAAATCACAAATTCAAAAAGACGTTTACTTTCATTTGAAAAAAAAAACAAACTCCGGTGATTCTATAAATTTAACTTTTCATGAATCATTTAATATTAATTTTCTAATCTTTCTAAATTTTCAAATTTTATATTCTTGCAAAAATCACAATTTCAGGAAGAATAAAAAAATAGAATATAATATATCTTATTTCAAGTGTTACTAAAAATAAGAAAAATAAATTATTTAAATATCTGATCCGATTTCACGAGTTTTCTTCTAAAACACTCGGTAGGAAGATAGTCAAGAAACATTTATCTCCAATTAAAATTTCGCAGATTCAATCTCTCATCAATTCTTCCACGTCTAGTTTCTAAATTTTTAAATTTTGTGCACTTGCAAAAAGCGCAATGTTTATTTTTACTAATAAGTAGATTAACTTTAATCTTGGTTTAACTCACTTTTTATTTTCTTCTAATTTTAAGAATTAAAGACAGATAAGTTAAACCGAGATAAAAATTAATCTACATTAGTATAAATGGATATTAGAGAGATAAAATTAAAAAGATGATAGTAAAACAGTAAGAAGATACAGAAAGGTGTCGTGAATGCGATAAATAAATTGTGCAATATGTAGTCATTCTAGCATTCGCAAAAATCGCGCATCCAAAAATCATACCAGTCCCGACAAAGGGCCGAATAGAATTCCGCGGCGGAATTTCAACCATCGTTCTTTAAACACTATTTAAAAAAATGCCAATATTTCGCACTCAATCTCCATAACGCCATGGAATTCGAATTTCATGATACGTATAGAGGACACGTGAGGGTATTTCGCGCTGAGTTTCTCTCGTTTCTCTTAAGCCAGCACCAGACTACATAACTCGCGAATTCGTTAATCATATGATATTCGCAAATAGCACGAATAAGCAGATTCGTTGAGTTCGCATTTATTGTCCGTCATCCATGCAGTTCTATTATAAGCGCAACGATTTAATAACATAAAATTAATAACATAAAAAAGAGAGCAAACCATTGCATTGAGAGAAAAATATATTATACTAAATTTCAATAAGTATAATATTTCAGTGCACAAGAGACTACAAATGTGGTATATAAATTCACATGGAATTATTTAAAGTACTAACAATAAAATCCAGTTTCGACCGGTATAGGCATTATTTCTTACTTATTATTTAATAAGTATTTGTTTAAATACCAATTAAATATTTACTAAATGTAAACATATATTTATTTGATACAAGAACCATTAAATTGATTTAATTATGACTTTTTATCATTATTTAGTAAATATTTATTTTCTATAAATAAATATTATATTATAGTACTATCTAAATAATTAGTTATTAAAATTTAGTACATTTTTCTGTCTGTGTAAGAATCAGCCAATTTATGTGATTCGTATGTAAAATTGCAAACGATGAAGCACGAATTGTAAATAATGTAGATTACGATTATGCCCGTTTCTACCAATTTAATCTCGACTCAATTAACTCTTCAGCTTTTTCTAGTTTTAAGAATTAAAAAAGAGTAAAGGATAATTTAGATCGAGATTAAAGTCAACCTACATTGGTATATATATATGTAGAAACGCACACAAGACTTACTATTTATTTTTCTTCTAATTCTAAGAATTAAAAAACTTACTGTTTACTCTAAGAAAAAAATTCTTAGAATTAGGAAAAGATTAATAAGTCAAACCGTAAGTTTAAAGTTAATGTTATATTTGTAAAACTGGGATCTATATATATATATATACTCTGCAAATTGAAATGTACTGTAATAATACTATAATAATACCTACTATAATAATAAGTACCTTAATGTGATTTAATGGACACGTTTGAATGTATAAATCCATTTTTGCAGTATCGCATTATCCTTACGGGAAACTAAATCACAGTCATATATAAAGGTACTTATTACTAGTATGATTACACACTTGGATTTGCAGAAAATTATCGCGATAAACGCAATGAATTTTTCTGACACAACACTCTTTGAAAGTGTCGTCCTCGATTGACTTTTTCAGAACGATTTCGTAAAAACGAATTCGCCCATTGTAGTGGAAATCGTATACCTGCGAAATTCCTTTGGCTTTCAGCAAATGCGACGGTGAGAATTTTCGATGTATGTATGTCTTTCTCCCCCTCCCCCTCTCTCTTTCTCTCTCTCTCTCTCTCTCTCTCTCTCTCTCTCTCTCTCTCGGAAACGGCCAATCACCCCGCAAATGTACAAGGCGGTTTTTTTTCGAACCTTCGAATCGCCGATGGTTCAAAGTTCGCGAAATAAAAACCGTCGACGACGACGACGACGATGACGGGTCGGGCGCGCTACTCCGATCGTCGACGTCGGCGCCACCGCCGCGCGGCGCGTCTCTCGACGTTCGCGGGGAATCAATAGAGGAATGCGGCGTAGCGTAGAAGAATGCAAAAAGAGACGAGAAAAAGGGAGGAGTAAAAAAAAAGAGGAGAAAACAAGCGCGCGCGAGAGAGAGAAAGAAAGAGAGCGAGGGCGAGGAGGAAAGAGAATGACGACGCGTAAACGCGCGGAAAATTCCTCGGAGAAGACGTGCGCCGGCACGTCGTTTATTCCCGCCGCGTCGCTTTTATTTTGACAGTCCGTGCGGGCATTCGCATTGCGCGCGCGGGCGCACGCACGCCGTTACACGCGTGTGCGTATTAGATCTTTTTTTTTTTTTACTCACCCGTGGTTCGTCGCTCCCCGACGTACGCTCCGCGTAGTCCCGCGACTGTGCGCCGCACCTGCGAAAAATACGCAAGTTTCACGCGGCGACAGTTCTTGCCTCACCGGAGTTCCGAGTCCGCCGTCACCGCGCGCTCTCTGACACCTGGATGAACGCGATGTTGGGATCGTACGGCACTTCACGTCGTCCGCGCGTTGTGCTGCGGCCGGTTACGCGTACCCATTGAAAACCACGAAAATCTAATGGTATGCGGGCGGGTGGATGCGCGCGCGCGGCACGGCCCGTTTGACACGACAAGCAGCCTCGGCTATTCGTCCTCATCCCTCCCCACTCTAGCCCTCTTTCACCCGCGCCTCTACCCGCCTTACGCCCCCACCCTCACCCGCGTGCGCTCGGGCATTACGCCGGAATGCGCGGTATGCGGACCGACCACCGCGCCACTACGGCAGGATCGTCAAACTGCCCGCGGCGCGACGGCCGCAGCCTTGTAAATACGCCAGCGCGGCTCTGTTGTTGCAAACGAGGACGCATTTTTTTTTGCGCACGCGCAAAAGTAGTATCAAGCGATTCGAAGTAGCGTACGTAGTTCACGGAAATATAATGGTATCATCAGGGCCCATCATGGAAAGAAAACATTGAAAATGAAATGTGATGTCCGTTATTTCTGAACCATTTTTTTACCGACGTAGATTAACTTTAGTTTTAAGTTAATTTATTCTTTATCTTTTTCTAATTCTTAGAAAAGATAAAAAAATAAAGTAAAATCCGATTTAAATTAATTTATTAATAATTAGAAATAAACGTCTATTAATGTAGATTAATTTTAATTTTAAGTAATTTTTTGTTATTTTTTTTAACTAAAATTAGGAAAGAATAAAGAGTAAATTAAACCAAGATTAAAATTAATCTACATAATTGATATAAATAACAAAATTAACAAAGTTTATGAACATTTTACGTCTACAGACTCGACATATCTTATGTAATATGCTTTGCTTCATAAATAAGAGAAACCACTGAAAAACTTATATTAGAATATTCGAAAAATACAAAGCTGTTAATAATTAGAAATACATAATATGAATATAATTCAAATATTATAATATAATAAAATTAGTAACAATTATACATATATGATATGTATAATACGTTTATAATTATCATGGTATGTAATACATTTTAATAAATATAAAATTACAA